CGTAGCCGGGAGAAATCCCGGTTCCTTCGCGAGCAGAAGGGGAAATGGGACCGCCTCGCCGAAGAGGCCTGGCTGTGCGGGGATGTGGGCGCCCAGCTTGCTGTCACCCAATAGATGGTGGCCGAGCTGACTCCCCTGGCCAAGGAGGCGACCAGTCTCCGGCTGCGGGAGACCAAAGCCCGTCGGGACGCGGAGGATGCCGAGAAGGCATTTGAGGAACTGTCGGCGAGGGCGCGGCAAGATGAGGAGGAGGCCGCCAGAGTCGGGAAGGAGTGGGACGAGCTGCTCCAGAGGGACGCTGAGACCCGCCAGCGGATCCTCGACATCCTGACTGAGGTAGAGAAGGAGCGGGAGCTCAAGCTGGGTGCCGAGGAGAGGTTCGCGGCCCTGCAGCAGAGGGCGAACCAGGATAAGAGAGGTTTTGATCCAAACATGTTGAAAGGACTATTGTAATACATGCATTTTCATTATTACTTATACATTACTATAACATTTGTATTATATAACCATAGGAAATAAAAAGTATCACACAAAAATAATAAAATAAATTAATTTAAGAATATGGGCAAATCATATCACTGTCGGGTCCATACATAAGCTGATAGTGATCATGGGCATATCACTGCTAGTTGTAACTGAAGACGGCATGTTTCCTCAAATCAACATTGTCGGGTCTAGTCCTTCGCCAATTTAGCATAAAGAGCCGGCAAAGTGATGACTATTATCACTTTGTCGGGTCGGATGAACCGGCATCAATAGGAAAGACTAATCACTACCACTTTCCCTCTGCGGGTTCAGTTTCCGACAGTGATAGGGGTTTTGACCCAACAGTGATAGTCTATTCTGTATTAGTGTGAAGTACCCGATAGCAATATGTTGTGATGATTTTGGAGGCATTTCCAACAACATGATATTGAGGTGGTATGAAATCCATCTGGAAGCTTCCATGAAATACTCATGTGCCTCAATCGCATCGTATGGACGAGTTATGACCTTTCTCGGGCTGCTAGCGAACAGAATGCTAAGCTTTGATGTCATGCACTTCAAGATGGGGATTGCACATGGTGTATATATGCACGCCCCATAAGGATTAGAGGCCATAGAATGAATCTTCCCAAAGTGCACATCAACATCATCTTTGTTCCTAAGCCCCTAATGGCTTGGTCTCTCTTGATCAAGCCTTCCATCAACGCTGAAAGAAAGCAATTTTGGAACATATTCTAGGTCCTATCATGAAACAAGATGTGTGTAGGCTGCCGCTACTAAGCCACTGCGCCTTTTGCTCCTCGTCACTGCTGCCTAGGGCCCCTCTCCTTCTTCCTCTACGGCGACTTCGTTCAGAGAAGACAAGGAGAGGGACACATCATTCGTTTACAATAGTTCTTTAGATCTAGTTCGCTAAGGTTTAATCCAAATAAACCTATTGACGAAATCAATTAATTTCTTGTCGAGATCTTATTACCTGTGATGATTTCATTGACTGTCAATTTGTGGTCATTATTATATAAAGGGCAGGGATGCTCCTGAGCACTCCCAATGAGGGCAGTTACTCCAAGTCATCGATATCATTATTGATGGTTGTGGAGAGGAAATCAAGGATTGAAGGTGATAAATCTGCATTCTATGATGTACCCGATGCAACCGTCGACATTCTTTGATCGATTTATTAGATTCGTTTGGATTAGTTCCAAAACGTTGGATCTTGTGGCAAGTCCAATATTTGGGGGTTGGTCATTGGATTTGGCACTTTGGCTTCTGGTTTAATAAGGTTTTGTTCTGCAAGGAAAGCCATAAGAAAAGGGACAAAAGAATCTAGATAGAATATTGTATATTTTTAATTTCAAAATTTTTAATGTGTAATTTAGGGATGTACTATGCCATATTTTAAGATAATTCCTCCTTCCTCTAGCAAAAGAAGAAGAAGAATATGAGTGTAACGTGTGGATATAGGAAACCGAAAAAATGGCAGCTTCATATGATTAACTTTATCGATCATGATGACATGGCACGAAAAGCAAGTGATCCACATTGGCACAATCTTCATTCATATCTCCGGTTTTAAGATCTCAAAGGAATTAGTTTTGATCATCTTCTATACATAGCTTGCGTCGAACCTTACTCAAGGTCAAATTCTTTCTAACCTTATACACGCCCACCATCAAAGTTGTCAAACTCACTTTCGAAATATAAATTGATGGCCGGTAAATAAAATAATAAGTCTGTTTAAGTTTCTGGCCTCTTGCAGTTTCTATATAAGATTCTTCGTTCTAATCGATCATAATTACCGAACTGGCTAGCTAGTACAATTTTTTGAAACTAGTTACAGTGTGTGTAACAGTACTTTCAACTGGTCCATTTTTTCATCAAGCTGTCCTGCTTCGTATCATTCAGCAGATAGGTACAATTAACTGAAATTCTTGGTAACTACGACGGCGGTTCTATTATTGCTTTGTTCTTGCAGCAAGTAGATTGGATTGTATCATGTCATCGGCTGAACAAGATGTAATCCACCTGCATAAAATTAATATGTGGTCCAAATAATCCAGAGCGTTGTTCAAGTATGGTCGAAACATCACATAGATAACAGCTTTACTACAAGCCAGATTCATGCGTACCATCATAAGGATATTCTGTTGGTCTAACACATTACACAAGGCAATGGAAACTCAGCATGGTAATTTGGAAGATGTTAGCATCTATTTAATTTTTTAGATAATGAAAAAAAAATCTCGCTTCTAATTAAACATGCTCTTTTGAAGATGCATCAGGTCACAATTAAGCATTAATTTGATTATTCTTACAAGTTAGTAAGTCTATTGCGGTTGATGATGTGATCTCCAATAACAGTGAGATACTATTTTTGATAAAGGAAGGTTTTACTCATTTCAAACAGTTTCGTTGAGTTGAGTATATAACCACCATGAGATCCACTTTCGACCTCTGCATTTAGAATGCATGCAGCATACATAGACATGCAAGCGACTATTCAGTCCATAGAATAAATGGTCACCCATTTACCAAGGAAAAACATGTATTACAAGAAGAGAAATGTGCATTGGAAAGTGAGTTCTCAAGTATTTTGGGACAAAATTTGAATCCTATTATAAGGTCAAATATTTTGGGACGGATGGAGTAGTCTAAATTCTTGAGAGAACTATTGAAATCAAGAAAAAAGACATCTTCAAGCTGGCAAATACATCGAAGTAACTACTATATATTGATAATTTGAGATATAGTAGGTGTGCAGTATATACAATATACCATGTGAATTCTATGTGCTCCGATGAAGCGCCATCAGTGTGTTCAACTAGGCATATCATTCTGAAATGGACACTATGTATATATAGGTACAGCAGTGTTCAAGCCTTTTATATGCTCATCAGTTACAAATTAAATATCTACATATGGAAGCGAACCATATCAACCTCATTGCATATGTCATATGTCATAATTGACTTAGTAATAAGGCATAGATTGTGTAACCATGCATGTACTAGTTCTTGTCGCAAAAAAAATTCTTGCCAGGTCAAGACGATGATAACAAGAATCCATTTGGGACATTTCACAGCTTAAATACGGCTACTAGGCACCAGCTTAGTCATCGCTTTTCTGTTTGCATTTGAAGCTAGCGTAGCCATCAACAGAAATATGGCCCTATAGAACCAATGCATGCACACATCTCAAAAAAAGAATATAATGTTTTAGCAGCATATTAATTATGCACTAGGTCTTGTCATCTTACTAAAATTATTTTTTCCCTGTATGATATCAATTGAAGATACTTTTTATTATATTAAAGTTGTAGCTAACTATGAGATCAACAACGTTTTAGTTTAGAGGTCTTTCATTTGAGATGGTTAAGATACTCAAAAGAATAATAAAAAAATTTAAGGGGCATATTAATCGTGTGTCAAAGCTTATCCTTTTAGAAAAATCATATATTTCTTATTTGATGTCTCATAAAAATACTTTAAAAATGAAAGTTGTAGATCTCATTGAGAGCTACAATTTTGATATAAAAAGTACCTTCATTTGACATCATAAAAAATGGTATTATTTTTCTAATACGATAAGCACTAGTACATTATTATTATACTGCTAAAATTTTATATTATTTTTCGAGCATCTGAATGACCTCAAATCGAAAAACTCGAAACTATAAAGTTATAGATCTCATTGTGAGCTACAATTTTAATGTAAAAATTATCTTGATTTGACACCATACAGAAAAGATATTGTTTTTCTAATGCGATAAGCACTAATACACGATTATTATGCTCCTAAAATTTAATATTATTTTTTGAGCATGTTAACGTCCTCAAATGAAAAAACTCACAACTAGAACGTTGTAGATCTTACCGAGATCTACAATTTTTATATAAAACTCATCTTCATCCGACATCATATCAAAACGTTATGTTTTTCTAAGGTTCAGTCTTCACGCAACTCCCAGTGGCACGACAAAACACTAGCGTGACATGGTTCTCTACGTTGAAAACGCCGTCTAACGTAGGAGATGTTACCACGCTAATGCATATGGCGCGACAACGTTATTCTATCGCGTCAGTGGCACTGACGCGACCAAATGGGTTAGATCTAAAAAAAAATTAGGAAAGGTTATTATTGATATATTGAATAAAAAGGATTAAAAATAAAAATAAAAAGCGAACCATCAATCTCATATGTCATAAGTCATAACTGACGTAAGACGTAGTAATAAGGCATAGATTGTGTAACCATGCATGTACTAGTTCTTGTCGCAAAAAAAATTCTTGCCAGGTCAAGACGATGATAACAAGAATCCATTTGGGACATATCAGAGCTTAAATACGGCTACTAGGCACCAGCTTAGTCATCGCTTTTCTGTTTGCACTTGAAGCTAGTGTAGCCATCAACAACTATAAATATGGCCCTATAGAACCAATGCATGCACACATCTCTACTGAGCAAATTATTTACAGAACAGTACTAGTCCGAGTAGAGAGAGAGAGGACAATATAATGGCAGTCTCAAGGGTTTCACTCCTCTTCGTCATGGCGCCGGCCATGTTCGTCCTGGCCACTTTTGATGGGGCGAAGGCGCAGGAAGCACACGGTGTGTTAGCGACGTACAACCTGTACAACCCACAGAGCATCAACTGGGACATGCGGACGGCGAGCACGTTCTGCGCTACGTGGGATTCCGACATGCCGCTGGCGTGGCGGCAGCGTTACGGCTGGACGGCGTTCTGTGGCCCTGCCGGTGAACATGGCGAGCCATCATGTGGCCGCTGCCTCCAGGTGCGAATGCATGCACTGTTCTCTCCCTCTCTGTTGTGGGTCTGTCTGTCTCTTCTTCTCTCGCACTCGCAACATAATCGACAATGGTTTCTTGAGCAGGTGACGAACAGGGCGACAGGGGCGAGCGCGGTGGCGAGGGTGGTGGACCAGTGCGACAATGGCGGGCTCGACCTGGACATCTCGGTGTTCCAGCAAATTGACACCGATGGAGGTGGCATGGCCAACGGCCACCTTTCCGTTGACTACCAATTCGTTGATTGCCAAGATTAGAAAACAATCTATGCTCGATCGGATGGCAGCACAACACATCGCTTATATATCGTATATGATGGGCATGTTAATTATCGACAAGCTGCTGAATAAATCTAGAGAAACAAGCCAGTATAACAATAAAAGTGCACGGGATTAGTGCAAGAGAACGTTATATTAATCCATGTAACCTATGAGATGAGAGGAATTGATAGCTGGGTGTATTTTCAACACATGGAGTACGAATGAATATACCGGTGCTCTTTTTTTTTCTTAAATACGTAAAAGATTTGCATATTATTGTAATTAAGTAGAATGTTGTAATGTAACCATACAAACCAAACGCTTCTTGCAAGCGTCCTAGAAGATCTACAGTAACTTCCAGAGCTACTGGGCCGTCCTAGCATACGAGTTCAGCTTTAAATATTACACAAATGGTATAAACCAAAGTATGCGCAGCGATGCAATCTAAGAGGTGGCCTTGCATCTCCACTGCCCGATCCTTTCCCGCATCGTTCAAGAGCGCGTCCAATGCTTCGATGTTGGAAGCGGTCAACTTGTCGTCGAAGAGTTCGTCATAGGCCTTCCACTCCGACATGCTTGGCGTTGAAAGACCCGTAGCGAAGCCCATACGCTGCATGACAAGGACATCACCTCGCTTGAAGGCACGTACTCAGGAGAGGCTCTAAACTGCTAGCCGCTTGCTCCACTTTGGGAGTGCCAGCTTAGCAGGTGACGGCTGCTTGGGAGGCTGACGAATTAGAGGTGAGTTGACTTTCTTCAGCACTCGCTTTGTGAAGCTCTTGAGGTGGTATGCAACGGAGTTGTCGCTGTCCCCAGTCGAAGGGCTGTCCCATGGCGGCGTACTAAGCAGGCCATTGTTCGCCATGGGCACGGTCAGGCCAAAACCTAGTGGATAGGTCGCCTCATCCTCTGTAGATGCATCAGCTCCTGACTTGGTGGTCTGTGCCACTTGTGTTGGCGTGACCTGTCGCTGCCCCTACTCAGGAAACAACAGGATTGAGACCGTTGCCACCTGAGCAGAGCATGAGGGGACAACACACATTGTCAGAGAAGGCTAGGGCGATCGTCGTGCTGATGCCCGATCGCGGTTCGGCTGACAGCGAGCGAGGATGCAAACTCCTTCAGCATAGGGTCCTCCGAGACATCGTGAGCGGCGTGTGTGGTGCCCTAAACCCAGGCGGCATGCCCTGTGCTTGTGCACAACACATATCAGCGGATCTGGTTTTGGGAGGCCGCACTATGCGGCAACACGAGTAGCGATGGCGTCAATGGAGTCTTCAGGCGCCCCCGTGCCGATTTCCCTTGCCAGCTTACTCTGGTGCCGCTAGCATTGGCTTCAACAAATGCCCCCGGCGCCCCCACCCTGCATGGCCCCATCCAAGCTCGGTGGACTGCTGTGGACCACGTGCGGGTAGGCCGGTGGGAGGTTGCCACGTGCAGAGTGTCGTGGCCTTTCGCAACCATTATCATCATTGTCTCAGCAGACCTTAGCTGCCTACAGTCCCTGGCGAGGTGGCGAAAGCCGTGGCAGCGCAGGCAACGCTGTTGTAACCAGCAAGTCGCTACTCTGTGCAAGTAAGAAAGGCAATTGAACCATTTGTTGCGAAGCTCTGTGAGGAGGTTGTGGGTGCTACTTTGGGCCCTGGCAAGGCCCAACCGAGGCAGCTGCAGGTTATGTCTCCGGCCGAGGGAGGATCTCCCGCCACCCATCAGCATTGGGGTCAGAGACCCATCATTGATGAGACATGACACGAGGGCCGATGCACTAGTGGGTAGGGACGCGGACACCCATGGCACCTCGCCGCCCCTGTGGATGGCCATTGCCTGCTCGAGCATGCAGGCCGCACACCAGCTGGGGTGCAGCCGGCTGCGCTTCCGCTGCCTTCGCTAAGCCCCTATCAACCTATGTCCACCCACCACACCCTGAAACCATGATTGAGCCAGGCTAGGCACACATGGGGAACACCATGGATAGCTTTGGCAGGTAACGAACGACGTCCAGGTAAGGAGTTGAGGAGCGGTCATCGTTGGACCCCTCGAGGCCGGTGTCATCAGCCCACTGATGATGCTTAGAGCGTCCCCCCACACAGAGCAGTCAGGGTAGTATAGGGCCACGGTCGGTGAGAGGGAGAAGGAACTTGGGGTGGCTGCCGATGCTGCTATGGCCACCAGCGGGCTTGGGGGAGGGGAGCCCACTGACCCAGCCCATACTTGGGTCTCCCCGACATAGGAAAGAGGTGAGGTCTTGACGGAGGGGATGGAGGATGCCACGGCCCAGGCAGGGGACGCCAGACGTGAGGACGACGAGGGGCCTAACCTGGCCGATGGCGTTCCTAGGAGGCTCCCAACCTCTAGCACGCAGGGAGGCTCTTGCTCCTCCTCGCCTTCCTCTACATCGGTGTGCTGGAGATGGACAATAGCGGCTGCTGCATCCTAGAGTAGCGGTGGAGGCGGAGGCAGTGCCACAGGTTGTGGCTGGTTGTCGGCCATTGCCGGTGGATCTGGCGGTGCGGTGGGCGGCGACAGCCGCTAGGCTGTGAGCCAGCCATCTGTCACCGCCCGAGGTGGGGAGGCGCGGGGGAGGATGAGAGAGTGGTGGAGAGGAGGTGGGGGGTGCTGGCGGCGGCGATGAGACGGCCATGGCCGCGAAGGGAGAACCCTAGCGGGCCGCCTGGGCCGAGCAAGGGAGCATCCCGTTGAAGGTTGACCTTTGTAAATTGATTTAGAATCCAAACTCTATACTAGTGCTCTATACTATGACGATGACAGTAGTATTCCATTAATTACTCGATGTTCATCTGTTAGGTAATCTACTGGAATATTGGACCTTGCGCGCAGCAATTAAATCAATAAATCAAAATAGAAAACATTGTGCGTTGAGTGCACCGTCAGCAGAAGCTATAAATATGTTAACAAGTCAATTTAGTATTCAAATCAACTAATATAAAGCAACAAGGCAAACATCAGTGTCGGTGCAGAAAGTGACCAACACGTAAATTTTTGTAGTTTTGCTGTATGTTGTGATCAGATGTGGCCTAGCACTCAATGACATAGGGTTTATACTAGTTTAGGCAACGTGCCCTACGTCCAGTTTGAGTCGGTTGGTGACTTTATTCCTGAGCCCAGGTGCTCGAAGTTTGTTGTGGGGTTACAAACGGAAGGGAGAAAGATGGGGGGTACAAGAGGTCTGGTCGGACTCTGGTCTAAAGGGCAGAGAGTGACGGGAGCCCCGCTATGTGCTAAGTGTTCGAGCGTGTGCTCGGTATGACTCTAGAGTGTCTAAAGTTACAGAGGGTAAATCAATGTAGGTGAACTGATCGATCTCTTTGTTGGAAGAGAGCGCATCCCCTTTTATAGATGAAGGGGATGGCCTTACAAGTGAGAGGGAGAGAGTATGTATGCTGCTAAGTCTTGCTGCCCACGCTGGTAAGTACAAGATGATGGTAGGTGCCCACAATACTGTTTAATGACAGATGCACATGGCAGGTTGCGTCGTCTTCTTCAGGTATGACAGACGTTGGTGCCTACCACACTGTTGAAACCCAGAGGCATGTAAGGGGTTTTACCATGTTCGCCTAGTATGGTAAATGTCGACACCCACAACACTGTTGATGCCTCAGAGGCACGTGGGGGATCCTTACCGTATTTGTCGGGTATGGCAGTTGATAGCGCCCACAACACTATAAGGGAAAATGTCGGCGCCTACAACACTGCTTGGGTTCTGTCATGCCAGGGAGGTCGTAGGGTACTGTCCTACAGGTGTACAGAGTACGGTCCTTGGTATTGCGCTTTGACTTGAGCATGTTGTCTTACTTTCTCCGTCCATTTCCTGGTCCTTACCGAGCGGGCATCCCCGGTCGGTTGGTCCCAGTCGGCTCTGATTGCGCGAGTCGAAGAGGAGCTGTAAGCAGGGGTTCGACGCATTCCCAGTCGGAGAAGTGGGTCGAAGTCGGAACTGGTGTTTTGGCCAGGCCTTCCGGTCGGAGAGGCCGTCCGGAGGCGGGCCGGAGTTGGAAGCCAGGCCTTCCGGTCAGAGAGCCGTGCCAGAGTCGGAAGCGGGAACCGTTCCTCCTCGGCTAGGCCTTCCGGTCGGAGAGTGGGTTGTCCTTCTGCCTGTCGCTTAGGTGTTTGGGCCGGCCCAAGAGTTGTGCGTCGTTTGCAATGTTGTCTGCTGGGCCGAGCCTTTGCTGGGAAGCCGGTCCATGAGGGACCCCGGGTTTATGAACCCGATAGGAGCCCCCGAGCCCCCGGGCAATTCGGGTAGAATCGTCTTGGGGATTTTTGCCTTGACGGCGGGTGCGCGCGAGCACACCCGCGGGTGTAGCCCCGAGCCCCTGGGCAATTTGGGTAGAATCGTCTGGGAGGGTTTTCGTGTTGCCAGCGGGGGAAGTTTTGTTTTGCCGGTAGTGTGCGAGTGCACCTGCTGGTGTAGTTTCGAGAGCCCCAGGCGATTCAGGCGAGAATCGCTGGGGGTTTTTTTGTCGATGGCGTGTGTGCATGCATTTTAGTCGAGACAGAGTTGTCAACCAAGGTGTCGTGCACAGCCGAGGCGGTTTTTTAGGGATCGGGCGAGACGGAGCTCGCGGATCCTGGCGTCGGTGCAGCCCGCGCAGCTGAGGCAGTTAGTTTAGGGATTGGGCGAGACGGAGCTCGCTGATCCTGGCGTCGGTGTAGCCCGCGCAGCCGAGGCAGTTAGTTTAGGGATCAAGCAAAACAGAGCTCGTGGATCCTGGCGTCGGTGCAGCCCGCACAGCCAAGGCAGTTAGTTTAGGGATCGGGCGAGATGGAGCTGGCAAATCCTGGCGTCGGTGCAGCCCATGTAGCCGAGGCAGTTAGTTTAGGGATCGGGCGAGACGGAGCTCGTGGATCCTGGCGTCGGTGCAGCCCGCGCAGCCGAGGTAGTTAGTTTAGGGATCGGGCGAGACAGAGCTCACAGATCCTGGCGTCGGTGCAGCCCGCGTAGCCGAGGCAGTTAGTTTAGGGATCGGGCGAGACGG